TCCATTGGATGTGCTTAAGAAGTCGATTGGAGGCGGAAAGGAAATCCTGCACTGCAAACGGCTTATATCCCTCGGCACTAAAGCCCGAATTCCCGCCATTTAGAGAATGGGGCGTGGCTTCGTCTCCAGCCTTTATGATTTGATGCTGCAAAAGCAAAATATATAAAACTTTATACAGCCAGTTTTTTGCTCAAGTTTTTTTCTGCTAAAATGATACATATGTTTTATTATAGAGTCCTATTTTTTAAGTAGAATAGTTACTTCTAAATTTTTATGCATCGCTGTTAATTATTTGAGAAGTGTACAGACACAGAGAGCTCCCAGCTGTTGGATCCCAAATGCCTACAACAACCTGGGCTGGGCCAGCCACAAGCCTGGAACTCAATCTAGTTTTCCCGAATGGGCAGCAGGGGGTTAGCCATCACCTACACCTCCCAGGGTGTGCATTAGCAGGAAGCTGGAACCAGCAGAGCCTGGACTTGAACCCAGACCCTCAGGTGTGGCTGGCGATGTTCCAACTGAGCGTATGATCCTCTAGGCCAAGCACCCACCGAGCCCTTAAGACAGCTGGTGATGACCTTTGGGGCCGGCACGGTGGCGTAGTGGGCAAAAGCCACAGCTGGTGGTGCCGGCATCCCATATGGATGCCAGTTGGAGTCCCAACTGCTCCACTTCCAATCCAGCTCTCTGCTATGGCTGGAAAAGCAGTAGAAGATGGCCCAAGTCCTTGGGCCCCTGCACCCACGTGGGAGACACAGAGGAAGCTCCTGGCTCCTGGCTTCAGATCAGTGCAGCTCCAGCCGTTGCAGCCATCTGGAGAGTGAACGAGCGGATGGAAGACCTCTCTCTCTCTCTCTCTCTCTCTCTCCCTCTCCCTCTCTGTAACTCTGCCTTTCAAATAATAAATAAATATTTTAAAAGAGACAGCAGAAAAACTTCTAATAAAAACAGATTATAAAAAAAAAAAAGAAACACTGGCAATGATCACTCCCTGTGCCCCACCACACGCCGGTCACCTTGCACCTGCTCTGTGGTCCCTGAGCTCATCCCACCCACAGATGGCAACACCCGCCCACAAACGGCGCCGGAGGAAGACACCACCTCAGCAGCCAGAACCACTCAGGTCGAGAGTTTCCATCAGAGTGATCTCTTCCACTAAGAAGAAAATCAGAATTTGTTTCAGAAACTACCCGAGCTTGTTTTCAAGCCCTTAGAAAATGATCAACTTGTATATTCCTAAATATATTAACTTACTTTGGTCACAGAAATAGTTATTTCTATGAAACTGAACTATTCTAATTATTGAATTTCTTAAATTAACCCCCAAATGGGATTATTTTATTCTTCTCAGTTTTTTTTTTTTAACTGTCTTTTGGGGAAAAGATGACTCATACTCCATGTTCCTGTTTTTTGGTTTTTGTGTTTTTTTTTTTTTTTTTTTTGACAGGCAGAGTTAGACAATGAGAGAGAGAGAGACAGAGAGAAAGGTCTTCCTTCCATTGGTTCACCCCCCAAATGGCCGCTACGGTCGGCGCTGCACCAATCCGAAGCCAGGAGCCAGGTGCTTCCTCCTGGTCTCCCATGTGAGCGCAGGGCCCAAGCACTTGGGCCATCCTCCACTGCCTTCCCGGGCCACAGCAGAGAGCTGGACTGGAAGGGGGCAGCTGGGACAGAATCTGGTGCCCCAACAGGACTAGAACCCGGCGTGCCGGCGCCGCAGGTGGAGGATTAGCCAAGTGAGCTGCGGCGCAGGCCCATGTTCCTGTTTTTCATTTGTAACTTTTACACACATTTTATCAAAATACAATACAAGGGGTCGTCAAAAAAGTTCATGGAAAATGTGTAGTATGAAAAAACACATAGATTTCAGAAATGTTTGTGCCGAAATAAACTTACCTTTTCATTCCATTCCCCCTGCATCTTTGAAGTGCCCTCAAATCCCGTGATAAAGGCGTCACGCAGCCTGTGCCATAAGCTCAGCCTCCCCAGGTCAGAATTTTCTCTCCACGTGGCCACCCGCCAAAGCCAAGAGAAACCATTTGAGAACGTTTAGCATCACGAACAAGTTGTTTTCTCTGCCTTCCAATGTATGTTTCCTCCAAAAAGCTATTTGATAAAACTCAACACCCATTCATGGAAGAAAAAGAGAAAGAAGCCCTCTTCACAAGCCAGGAATAGAAGAAAACGTCGTAATCTGATCAAGCTTAGTTCAAAAACCACCAACAGATCACGTGCAAAAGGAAACAGACTCTCACGGCACTGGAGGCCGGGCCATCCGTGAGGCAGGAGGCCGCGCCGGGGAAATAAGCACTGGGGACGGGCGCTGTGCGGTGGTTAAGCTGCACTGGAGACGCCCGCACCCCAGATCAGAGTCGTGGCTACCCCGTGCTTCCAGTCCAGTTTGCTGCACGTCCTGCAAGGCAGTGGAAGATGGCCCAAGTGCTTGGGCCCACATAGGAGACCCGAACGGAGTTCTGGCTCCTGGCTCCAGCCTGGCTTAGCTCTGGCTGGTTCTGGGCATTGGGGAGTGTAACAGGGATGGTGTGGCACTGGCACAGGATGAGCAAACTGACAATGGAGCAGAACAGCGTCCGGAGCAGCCCCACACCTGCAGGGCCACAGGGAGAAGACACAGTGTTGAATACACGGTGCTGGGGTGCGCGTGACCCACGTGCACAACCCAACAACCAATCCCTGACAGTCTAAACTCAGAGACAAAACACAAAACATACAACTCGGGGTCGGCGCTGTGGTGCAGCAGGTAAAGCCGCAGCCTGCAGCACCAGCATCCCATATGGGCGCCAGTTCAAGTCCCAGCTGCTCCACTTTTTTTTTTTTTTATTTTATTTTTTTATTTTTGACAGGCAGAGTAGACAGTGAGAGAGACAGACAGAGAGGAAGGTCTTCCTTTTGCCATCGGTTCACCCTCCAATGGCCGCCGCAGCCGGCACGCTGCAGCCGGCGCACCGCGCTGATCCGATGGCAGGAGCCAGGTACTTATCCTGGTCTCCCATGGGGTGCAGGGCCCAAGTACTTGGGCCATCCTCCACTGCCCTCCCGGGCCACAGCAGAGAGCTGGCCTGGAAGAAGGGCAACCGGGACAGAATCCAGCACCCCGACTGGGACTAGAACCCGGTGTGCCAGCGCCGCAAGGCAGAGGATTAGCCTAGTGAGCCACGGCGCCGGCCTCAAGTCCCAGCTGCTCCACTTCTGATCCAGCTCCCTGCTAATGCACCTGGGCAAGCAGCGGAAAGATGGCTTAAGTCCCTGGGCCCCTGCACCCGCATGGAAGACCTGGGAGAAGCTCCTGGCTTCTGGCTTCAGCCTGGCCCAGCCCCGGTCATTGCAGCCATTTGGGGAGTGAACCAGCAAATGAAAGATTTGTCTCTCTGACTCTCCTTCTCACTCTGCAACTCTTTCAAATAGATAAATATTTTTTTAAATCTGCACAAAAATAAACTTATATTTTAATTCTATTTTCCACAAACTTTTTGAATTATCCTTGGACTTACAACTGACCAAAGGTTATTACGTAGGGGCAGCTGTTTGGCCCAGCAGTTGCACTGGCTAAGATGCCCGCAGCCCATTTGGAGTCCCAGGATTCAATAAGCAGCTCCAGCTCATGCCTCCACTCCCTGCTAATGCCCACCCCGGAAGACAGTGATAGCGTGAGTCACGGGGACCCTACCACCCACTGGGAGACCTGCAATCAGTGCCCACTCCTGCCATGGCACGTGGGAACTGAAGTGCTGGATGGAGCGTCCTCTCTCTCTCACTCTCTCTCTCTCTCTCTCTATGCTTCTCAAATTCAAAAATAAAGATCAGGGGCCGGCGCTGTGCTGTAGCAGGTAAAGCCACTGCCTGCAGTGCCGGCATCCCACAAGAGCACCAGTTCGAGTCCCGGCTGCTCTACTTCCGATCCAGCTCTCTGCTGTGGCCTGGGAAAGCAGTAGAAGATGGCCCAAGTGCTTGGGCCCCTGTACCTACATGGGAGACCCGGAAGAGCTCTTGGCTCCCGGCTTCAGATCAGCGCAGCCCTGGCCGTTGCAGTCATTTGGGGAGTGAACAGCAGATGGAAGACCTCTCTCTCTCTACCTACCTACCTACCTCTGTAACTCTAACAAATAAATAAATTTTAAAAAAAGATTTTAAAAGACTATTTGTCTAGAATATATAATCCTAATGAATATGAAACAGACAACTAATATTTTTAAGAATTTTTTTTAATTTGAAAAGCAGAGTTATAGAGAAGCAAAGAGAAAGAGAGAGAGAGAGAGATCTTCCATCTGCTGGTTCACTCCCCAGATGGCCACAATGGCTGCAGCTGCGCCGATCTGAAGCCAGGAGTCAGGAACTACTCCCAGGTCTCCCACAAGGGTGCAAGGGCCCAAGGACTTGGGCCATCTTCTGCTGCTTTCCCAGGCCATAGCAGAGAGCTGGATGGGGAGTGGAGCCGCTGGGACTCCAACGGACACCCTTAGGGGATGTCGGCACTGCAGGCAGCGGCTTTACTCACTACGCCACAGCAATGGCCCCATAGACAACTAATTTTTAAAAACAGGCCAAAAAAGGGATCAGCAAATATTTCATAAAAAAGAAGCATAACTGGTATATAAACATGTGATACTCATTAGAAAACAAAAATTCAAAACAATGCCACATTGCGATGCCATTTTATACCCACTGGATGACCCAGAGTAAGGGCGTCTGGTATACTGGAGGGGGCGACGTGGATCAACAGCACACTGCATGAGTTGGTGTCTTGTCACGGTAACAGACGCTCGAAAGAAGCTACGTACGAAAGAGACTGATTGTTGGCTCCTGCCTTTGGAGGTGCACACTCGAGGACCGTTGGTTCAGCCCCTCCCTGTGCCATGACGACCCCTTGCCTCTGTAGGATGCCTGGCGTGGCTGCGTGACTCGCTCTAGACACTGGCATCAGCCAACTGGAGAACTACAAAGGGTCAGCGTTCTGAGTACAAGCTGCTCCCCCCGCTCACCCCTGGGTGAACTCAGAGGACAGAGCCACAGCCAGTCTGCAGCAGCACCCATGGCCCCAAGAAATGACCTTTGCTGTGCTGTCACCTATGAGATTTGGGGGCCATTCAGTATGTCTGTCTTGTCAGAGCACGGACGTTCCCCCAACGGAGCAGGAATCCTGGGGCCGGAAACGAACACAGGAACCCCAGCTAAGAATGGAGTTTATTAGGGCGACCTACGTTCAGGACTCCAGACCAGGGCGGGCGCGCAGCCTGGGCGCAGCTGTGGCAGGGCCACGCAGGATGGCAGAGGCACTGGCTTACACGGGTTTACACGGGTTTACATAAGCTTACACGGGTTTACACGGGTTTACACGTCTCCAAGCTAGCAGGGCTCGGGGCAGGAGCTTTGTGAACGACACTGCTTCACTGTTACTCAGAGTCAGCCCCTCAGGCATCTTGCTGAGCTGTCCACCTCATCAGAAAGGCTTGCGATTGCCCTTGAACTTCATGGCAGGAGAGTGGGGCCACCGGACCCACAGCGGCCGGCGTCCTGAGAGATGGCGTCATGTGGCTGTGGTCCTGGTGTGTCCTGGCTGAGGCACGCCCAGCCCCTGAGGTTGGGCGCTCACGTGCCCTACGTGATCCAGAAACTCCAGAAGTTTTCCTAGAGACGCGTAAGAGAACATTCTTAGCGACACTGTTCATGACTGCAAACGCCTGAGACGACCTGAAGATCCCTTGACAGGGACGGGGTTAATAAATTATGCAAAGCGAATGCATCAAGTCACAGACGACAACACGACTGGGCCTTCTAGAGACAACCCTGAGAGACCAGAGCAGGCCGCGGGAGTCTGCAGGACCGCACGGATTTCATGAAGCTCAGAGACGCAAAACTGAACTCCGGGGCTCCTGATCACCACTCACGGCAACAGACTGCTTCAGAACAAGGAAAACAATCAAAATTCCTAAGACGAGGGGACCAGCACACTGATGACCCCCTGACCTCGCCGTGACCCTCCAGGGGAGGGGGTCATTGTGTTAAAAGACAGAATGAGGGGCAACAGCAGGAACCCGTCCACATCTTATGGCTGATTGTCACGTGCCACGTCAGCACACAACTTGCCCTGAATCGTGATGACCATGTTAGCCGAACCATCAGCCCATGCGGTAGAAGTCAAACTCTCATTTTCTTTGGATTTAAAAACAAAACAAAATTAGCCCCTCCTGTGAAGAAGATTCTAGAAAATGCCCCCTCTGTCCCCCGCATCTGCTAAGGGTGGTGCAAATTTGACGGCCAGTTGGTTGGCATTCAGAAAAAACTGGGCAAGGTGGTCGTGGCTGTCCTGTCAGGTGGTTTTCACATCAGAGACGCAGTCACCCGTGCTTCCCGTGGGGCTCCCACTTCACGGTTCATATCCGCCCTCCTCTTCCTCCGGAAACTGGCAGCTGCAGGCGTCTTCCTCTTGGGCAGTTTGTATCGGTTTCATAAACGCTGGAAAACAATTGAACAGTGCGCGCGTGTTGCTGTCTGTGTGCAGCACGCAACCCTCGCCTTCCACACCCAGTGGCCGAGGGGCGTCTCAGCAGGGAGCACCCTCTCCCTCCCTCAGCGTCAATAAACTCCTCCCCGAGGCAGACAGCGAGACGAGCCCCCCTCTGGGTTATCTAAGACTTCTTCCACCCACCAAAGCCTTCTATTAAAAACCTTTCCTCATTTTCTACGATGGCTTAGAGAAAGCCTTGAGCGCACACCACTATTAGCCAGCCCCAAACACAGCTGAAATTTCCATGCCCAGCACGTATTTCCGCCCCGACGGCGACTCAGACTACAGACCTTTCTTGTGAACGGGATACTGTGGCTTCCAGGTTGTACGGAAACCCCCACCAGTAAGCAGCTGGTTTGTGCGTCAGCTCCCAGGTCTGCTGTTCACGTGAAGTATTTGTGTCCCTGCTGAGCAACTGTCAACCCTAAGCAAGTTTTTCTTTGTAGCCCAACAAAGCAGAAGGCCCTCCTCCATTTTCATGCTTGCTACCACTGGAAGCAAACTCAGGGGCAAGGACTAGGTGTAGCAGTTAAGCTGTCATCGCCCCCTGTCACAGAGGCTGATCGCGACACCTGGCACTGCTCCTGATCCAGCTCCGGCCGCTGCACACCCCAGGAGGCAGTGGCGGTGACCCAACTCCTTGGGTTCCTGCCCCCACGTGGGAGGCCGGGTGGAGTTTCTGGCTCTTGGTTTCAGCCCCAGGCAGAGGTCACTGCAGGGGTCTAGCAAGTAAACCACTGGATGGGGTCTCTCTCTCTCTCCATCAATCTGACTCTCTCTGTCTCAAAAGAATAGAACTGTAAGCACAACCAGCCAACCACACCATGTCCCAGAATGTATAAAAGGGCAGCATGACTGTCAGAGAGAGCGACGGGTATCTTCTGAAGCCGTGCCAGAGATGAACTGCAGGGTGGATAGGTGCCTCTGTGAAGAGGGAGCTGCCACGCGTCCCCACAGCCTTCCTGCTCAGCACCATGGAGAAGCCCGGCCATTCCGCACAGCACCCACAAGAAGGCTCTGAGAGGTGCCAAGAAGACGGCACACCAGCTAGGGCTCCGGGCCCCAGAAACAACCTGGCAGTGAGCTTCCTGGGTCCACTTTCTGCTTCCAACGCCACAGACCAGGAACCAGAGAAGCCAGCATCCTAGAGATGCCAACAGGCAGAGACCCAGAGAGGCCGCTCTCCTGAGCTACAGGACTGGTTTAAATCCCAGCTGCTCCGCTTCTGATCCAGCTCCCCGTTAATGCACCTGGGAAAGCAAAGATGGCCCAAGTGCTTCAATCCTTGCCATTCAATTGGGAGACCCAGATGGGGTTCCAGATCCTGGCTTTGGTCTGGCCCAGTCCTGGCTCTTGTGGCCATTTGGGGAGTGAATCAGCAGATGAAATACTTCTCTCTCTCTCTCTCTCTCTCTCTCTCTCTCTCTCTCTAACTCTGCCTTTCAAATAAATAAAAATAAATCTTAAAAAAAAAGAAATAAAAAATCTATTGTTTTAGTATTAGGAAGGAAGTTTGAACGAGAAAAGACAATTGACAGAGGAGAACACAACGCAGATGGAGGAATTACAAGAGAGGATTTAAGTTACTGGTCGTAAAAATGCTTCTACCAGCGATTAGGAACACGTTTGAAACAAATGAAAAAGAATTTAAAAATACAGAAGAGAATCAAGTGTCAACCTGGAAACGACATTTCTTCCATGGACTCATTTGCAGAATGAAGAGGAGCAAGGGCAGAGGCGTTACCCAACCTGGAGGGGAGCCTGAGGACGTGCACCGGGGCGCACGGGGCTGGGACCCAGGCTGGGGCCCGTCCCTGGTCCCAGCAGGGGAGGAGAAGGAGACTCAGCCTGACGATGGGTATTTGAAGAACTCATATTTGAAATGTTCCTGGCAAAAGCCATTAAACAAACAAACAAACAAAACAAACAAAAACCACAAAGCTGCAGATTCCAGAAGCAGAGTGAACACAAACAGATCCAGAAGCAGAGTGAACACAAACAGAACTAACCCGGAGAAGCCCACAGCAATGCACTTCAGAGCCAAGTGCTGAGAACAAAAGATGGAGGCGGATCTCTCGGGAGCAGCCAGAGGGAGGCCAGCGTCATGGTGGAGGGGAGCCAGGGCCGACCACAGCAGATTCCTGATCAGAAACACACAGGAGCGGGCACTCGGTGCAGCCGCCAAGACACCACTGGGGACACCGCACCCCACATTGGTTTGCCCGGGTTCGAGTCCCTGCTCCTCTGCTTCTGATCCAGCTTCCCGCTAACGTGCACCCCGGGAGGCATCAGATGAAGGCTGGGGAGCTTGGGTCCCTGCCCCCACGTGAGAGGCCTGGATGGAGCTCCCCACTCCCGGCTTCAGATCAGCCCACCCCCAGACATCCGTGGAGTCAATCAGTGGATGGAAGATCTCGCTGACATTTTCTCTCTGTCTCCCTGCCTTTCAAATAAAGTTAAAATGAATAGATAAATAAAATAGCTTTCAGTTTAAAAAGGAAAGAAAAGAAACCACATTGGCCAGAAGGAAGTAGCACTGTGTTTTTTTTCAAGAACTGAAAGTAGGGGCTGGCGCTGTGGCATAGAGGGCTAAGCTTCTGCCTGGAGTGTTGGCATCCCATATGGGCACAGGTTCAAGTCCCAGCTGCTCCACTTCTGATCCCGCTCTCTGCTGTGGCCTGGGAAAGCAGTAGAAGATGGCCCAAGTCCTTGGGCCCCTGCACCTGCACAAGAGACCCATAAGAAGCTCCAGGCTCCAGGGCCGGCAGAGTGGCTCACTTGGTTAATCCTCCACCTGAGGCACCGGCATCCCATATGGGTGCCAGGTTCTAGTCCCGGTTGCTGCTCTTCCAGTCCAGCTCTCTGCTGTGGCCTGGGAGGGCAGTGGAGGATGGCCCAAGTGCTTGTGCACCCGCATGGGAGACCAGGAAGAAGCACCTGGCTCCTGGCTTCAGATTGGCGCAGCGCCAGCTGTAGCGGCCATTTGGAGAGTGAACCAATGGAAGGAAGACCTTTCTCTCTGTCTCTTTCTCACTGTCTATAACTCTACCTGTCAAATAAATTTTTTAAAATTATTTTAAAAAAATCTGCAACCCAAGACTAGCAAGCCTTCAGAAAATAACACGGGAAGGTTCTCCATCCTAGGGGCCTGGGGCTCGGTGGAGTTCCTACACATGACTCCCTAAGTGGGGGAAAGGCATGAATCAGACTTTATGGAAACCACACACTTGTCTTGGAAAAGCCATGAAGAGGATGGAAAGGGACAGAGTATTTACAAACCACAGATACAACGGACTCAAAGAATTCTCAGATCTTCCTTTCTCTCTAACTTTGCCTGTCAAAAAAAAAAAAAAAAAAAAAAGCCGGCGCCGCAGCTCACTAGGCTAATCCTCCGCCTGCGGCGCCGGCACCCTGGGTTCTAGTTCCGGTCGGGGCGCCAATTCTGTCCTGGTTGCCCCTCTTCCAGGCCAGCTCTCTGCTGTGGCCCGGGAAGGCAGTGGAGGATGGCCCAAGTGCTTGGGCCCTGCACCCGCATGGGAGACCGGGAGGAAGCACCTGGCTCCTGGCTTCGGATTGGGGCGTAGCGGCCATTTGGGGGGTGAACCCATGGAAGGAAGACCTTTCTCTCTGTCTCTCTCACTGTCTAACTCTGCCTGTTAAAAAAAAAAAATTCTCCAATCTCAATAGTATAACAAATAATCCAGTCAGAAAAATGGGCAAAAGATGCGAAGGAACTGTTCACTGGCCAAGATATCAAACTGGAAAATAAACCCTCAGAAAGACGTTCGCCCCAGGCACGTGCAGACGAAAGGCCAGTGAGCTATCGCCGCCGCCCGGCAGAACGTCTGACATTAGAGACTGCGTGACAGCGTGCTGCAAGGGGCAGTGCCGTGGCTCGTGGGTCAAACAGCCGTCGTTGCGTCCTCACCGGCAGCCTGTATGGGAGTGCCCATTTGTCCCAGCTACTCTGCTCCCAACCCAGCTTCCTGCTAACGTGTCTGGGTGGCAGCAGGTGGCGGCTCAAATACTCTCTCTCTCTCCCCCATCTTTCAAATAAATAAGCAATTTTTAAATGCTAGCAGTGGTACCGGCACTGTGGCATAGCGGGATAAGCAGCACTGGCATCCCACATGGGCACAGGTTAGAGTGCAGCTCATGCGCCCGGGAAAGCAGTGGAAGATGGCCCAAGGCCTTGGGCCCCTGCACCCACATGAGAGACCTGGGAGGAGCTCCTGGCTCCTGGGTTTTAGGCTGGCCCAGCTCCAGCTCTTGTGGCCATTTAGGGAGAGAAGCAGTGGATGGAAGAAGATCTCTCTCTCTCTCTCTCTCTTTCTCTCTCTCTCTCTCTGTAAGTCTTCCTATCAAATAAACAAACAAATCTTTAAAAAAGATCACAAAAAAGACAAGGATGTCTACTTTGAAAAAAAAAATGCCAGCAGTGATGCAGAGAACTTGGGTCTCCCAAGGACTGCTGGTGAGAGTGTAAAATGGTACAATTCCTCTATTAAAAAATGAAACAAACCAATTGCACCTTGGGACATGTATCTTAGAGCTGTGGGAACTTCTGTCCCCCCAGCCCTGTCCACGAGTGTCCACAGCCGCCTTCTATGTAACAAATGCTGCAAACAACCAGAACACGGCTGGGGCGGACTGCGCCTGGCTGCACTGTGGAAGGCTACTCTGCAGTGAGAAGCGGGAGCTGCTGAGGCCCACACCAACCCGAGTGGACCCCCAGGGCGGGACGCTGCAGGAGAAAATCCAACCTGAAAAGGCCACAGAGCGACCAGGGGACTTCAGGAAGTCTGTGGGGGAAATGGAATTAAAAATGAGTAAGGGGACCGGTGCTGTGGCACAGCGGGTTAAAGCCACCACCTGCAGTGCCGGCATCCCATATGGGCGCCAGTTCGAGTACCAGCTGCTCCTCTTCCCATCCAGCTCTCTGCTGTGG